ATCGGGGCTACTATTATGGCATTTACTATTAACAATATTTTGTAAGATGAGATGGGACTAGGATCACGTTTGTGTTTTGAGACAGGCTGACATGCTGACCATTCACACAAAAATACTCTGTCCCGACGTTTTGCGCATAACAAGATCTTTAATGTTAACTAATAATTTGTCATCCGCCAGCAAGGTCCACACGATTATAAAGTGCCAACGAAAAAAAAAGTTAAACAAAAGTACATTGGTACTGCTTTATGTGGTATTGAACAGTTCCCGACCATGAAGGAGACATTTTTTTGAGTGAATATACTGAAAATTATTCTGTTCCCTGTGCATAGACAAAAGATTTTTTACATGTAACGTTGAACTATTATACATCATCTGCTTATAGGCGAGAGACAATATCAATGTTATTTCATGGCACTTGGCTGATACTTGGCTGAAAAAAACTCTAACTTGTACTTACTTCACTGCATTCTACGGTGATAATAAAGATGGCATGTGATCGTGAACTGTGTTCATTCATATTGGTGGGTCTGTAAGAATGAAAAAAAATAAAGTTGCAATTGTGTGCTGAAGGTATTGGAAGTTATCATTTTGTACCAACTGGATTTCAAAAAATGGCGCCCTCTATAGACCTGGATGCAATCCAGCAGCCATCTTTTTTTATTTGCAAGTGATTTAATGTACAATGTTGGTATACATAAAGGTATAATTTTGATCCAAAAAAAAAAGACCATTAGTTACAGTAATTTTCGCATCATAAATACAAGTTTGAGTTGTCTCTATACTAGTAGAAAGACAGAATGCTAGATAGGCAGAAGTGGGGACACTTAACAGTCAGACTGTGGCATGCACTCGGACACTTAACAGTCAGACTGTGGCATGCACTCACACTGACCAAAGGTGAGTCACTCCCAACTCTTATTGACATCAATGGAATTACTGACTAATAACACAACTTCAGTGTTCTCCCCACATAGAACAAAGCATGGCGGCACCGCCATGCTTGGCGACCCGGCCGCCACGCTTGGGCTCGGACCGCCATGCTTACAACTTCACCGCCATGCTAATAGGATGCATTGTTTACGTCCATTTGACCCGCTCACACGTAGCACTGCATAAATTATCACCGTCTACGCCACGGCGGTTTGAACTTGCCGGGACAAATTAAACAGTCCCATTGTTAAACACGTGTGAAGTACAGACGCTGTCAATGGGGAACAAATTGTCACTCAAGTTGCAAACACCGAGATGCTATATGACAAAACATGTAAAGGGAAAAAAAGTGATGCCGCCCGGCTAAAACGTA